TGAAGACGTCATATAGTGAGAAAATGTATTACCGACTAATATTAACTCAAATACGTATATTGAAAGTAAAAAAGAATATGTTAATGTTAGCGTGAACATTTTGTTGTTATCCACAGATAAGATCGAGGTGAATCTAACTTTTAAAGTCCGGCAGCATAACAGGATTAAGTCCAAAACTCAGTAGTGTTTACCAAAAACCAAGCTTATCTACCAAACAGGAAAAAATGATCAGCAGGGATCGTTTATTTCATCCGACAACAACAAACCGGCATCGTATCATAGCTAAATTTAATTGTATAAACCATTACAATTCTACCTGCCATATTAAATTAAACAGTTTAATCATAATTTTAAATCAAAAAGAGGCTGGGGGATTACATAGAAACCTAAAATCCACACTGAAGAACCGAACCTAACTCGTATTCGCCCACAAGGAAAACTGGTTAGTATCGACCAACCAAGATAAAGTCGTTGTCATCGAGAATCTGAACGTCCTTCTCTCCGACAAAATTCTCCCGTCCAATCTCCTTCACTAGATTCACAAACTCTACCCTTTTAGCAAGAGGCAGAGGTACATAGGGTAACCTGAAAACTGGCCTCACAACACCCAGTTGAGCAAGAGCTGTGTTCAAGCCAATGGGGTTTGGCTCATCAAATAGCCACTCAATCAAGGGCAGAACTTTTGAATTCAGGGAAGTGTTCTTCCCTGCAAACATAAGCTCCCGCATCAAACCTGGAACTAAGTTGCTAGTGACGGATATAACTCCAGTGGCACCATGATCCCACCTCGCGTTATGGCACTGATCATCATTTCCACTCCACACCACAATCCCATTTCCAGTGTACTGTTCAATACGATCATTTCCAACACATTCTTTAACACCAGCCAAGTTGGGACTCTGTGCGACTGTGTGAATCACTCGTGGGGGAATATCTTGGCCAGTTCTTCCAGGAACATTGTATATGATAGTTGGGCCCATAGGAAGCACACTATCAAAATGAGAAACCATTCCCTCCATAGAGGTTTTGCCATAGTAAGGATTGATATGAAGAGCAGCATGCATTCCAACAGCAAAGCCTTGCTCAGTTGCGTGAATTGCTTCCCTTGTGGAATTGCTTCCAGTGTTTCCAATTACTTTAACTGATCCACCAAAACAATTCACTGTGTGACCAATAAGCATTATGTGTTCATCCCAGCTCATTAATTGGCCCTCACCAGTTGTGCCGCCAACAATTACACCTTCAACACCATTTTCAATCTGCACGTGCACTAGAGCATCATAGGCTTCAAGATCGAATCTTCCATCAGGAAGATACGGTGTTTTGATAGCTGTTATCAATCTAAGAGACTTTATTTCTTCAGCTGATGTCCTGCAAGTACAATTAGAGCATATGCTTAATCACCAAGGAACTCATTCTTTCATCAGAACATGCATGGTTACCAGCACTTAAAAAGCTACAATTCACCTCTTCATAGATTTAGGAACTACTAAATCATGTCTAAATTACATAAAATGCCTTTGACCTATATACATGTATGTGTGTATCTATATATATGTACATATTCAGCCCTGGTATGCCTCAAAGCAGGGACACTGCCTTCTAAAGAGAACCCTATTATAGGGGAATGCCTCTGAGATATCATGTTCAGACATGCCTTTCACCTTTAACAATTTAACTTCCAATTGCATCTTTCTAGGAGCAGTGGGTTTTAAAATTTTCCAAATTGGGACAACAGTGGTTATATTTATGATAAAACACATAAAAAATGCAAAATCTGCGAGTCAAATACTCATATGTTTCACATTTCTGGATTCTAATTTGGATATTTAAAAATTAAAGGTTTAAATGATGCAATTGAGAGCCCACGTCCTAGTTTTAGACTCTTCCATCAATTACTTTCAGATTAGCCATAAGTTATAACACAGTAAAATGTGCATCCCACTACCATACTAAAACATCAGCAAGTCAAAAAGTAAGCTTCCAATCAAAATTCCAAGTCAAGGATACGACTCCAAGAAGAAAATCATACACAAAAAAGTATCACTATAGCATTGTTATGCATTTATCCAGTAAAATCTTTCAAAATATGGCAATGGAAAATGCTTGTAATAGTCTGCACAAAGTTTTTATTACCTTTGACAATGACGCTGTTTCTCACATAATGAAATATGTTTGACAGAGCAGCCAATTAACAGGACTAAAACCCCAATCCCTGACACATCCACACACAGGAGGCACTACAGGACATGGATAAGATTTGCATAGGAAGAAGATGAACAAAGCGGCAATATCTATTTTCATTCAAAGATATTTGAAATGTTTGAAATGATACAGTATCATTAGAAGATATTTATTTCTTAATCTACCTGTTCTTAACTTCAAAACTGCGCATTGGGAGATGGAAATTTGGTATGACAGCTGCTTTTGGGGACAAAAATCTGGCATTCTTCCTGCATCATGGAAACAAGAGAAACCAATCAGCGAAGCAGGCATTATTGAACACTGCTGCTACATGCTTGCCAACCAGAGATCATTTCGTTGATTATTAAAATTACAGCATGAAGCTTTTCTATGTCCATTTTCTATAGCTCAGCAAATGAAAACTTTTGTCCACCATGTACTAAACTACTAGTCCTCCTAATCCTCCACCCAATTTTTACAGGGTCGTACATGCCACTACTCCCAAAAAAGCCATTCTCAGTAAAGGTTATTTAATAGTTACAAAGATGCATATGCCATATTAAATAAACAGCATGAGTTCGGATAATAGGTGCAGAGCATCATGTAACTATCAACGCTGACAGAATGAGTGCACACAAAATGTTGAAAACATCAACTTATAGGAGGGTGGACCATCAACATATGCACATCCATACCTCCGCACGTCATTTAATAGATAAGGATCCATCTAAAAATGACTAACTACCATCGGTGGGTTTTCATCATTAAATTTTTATCATATAATGTTATTTCAAAAAGCAACTAATCAGTTTTAATAGTTAATTGAAAAATACATTTATATCTGAGAAAAAATAGACTAATTTTCTTTCACCAATCCATTAAGCCACTACAATTTTGAATACCACTTATCTGCAAAACCAGAAAGATAGCACCCCATGGATAACCATGGAAATAATCACCTGACCCTGCAACAAAACTGTCAAGCACAAAGCTCCTTCTCACAGCCCCAACATTGTCTAATTTTCTAAATATGTCAGCGCAGAAACCCTGTGAAACAGAAAAACCATTTCTACGAATACTAAAGGGGCATTGAAATAGACATTCGAAAGATTCAAAACTTAGCCTCCATATCGTGAAGATCAAGAACCAATCACAGCTGCCACAGTTCAGAACACCTTTATTTTTTAAAAAATAAAGTACATATCACCTTTATAAACAAAGAAGTAAACCGAGAACAACAAAATGGCAATTAAAATCATAATTTTACAAACAAACACAGAAAAAGCCACGCAATATATAAAAATAATTCAGACAAACTAAAAAAATAATAACGAATATATTAATTAAAGTATGTGAATACCTCTTGTAATCATCCCAACGACTGGGATGCGGAAACTGGATAGCAGATTCCCTCAAGCCGATACCGTAACTCTTCAGAGCAGCCATTTTCACCGAAAATACAAGCGAATACTGTATACACCAACCCAAACACGAAGATCCGAAAACTTAACCCGATATGCAAAAGAGCTATTGACGCGAGGCTAAGCCTTAAACGTCGAAAGATAACAGAGAGACAAATGAAGTGACAAAATGGAGGCTTTCAATGAATGGTGTTGGCTATAATAGTTGAAATAGTGGTGATAATCGTGGCAGGAGTTGCTTGACGTAGAGAGCACGGAAGGATAACGGAGCTCTGGTGGTGGTTTCCGGCCATCATGACGTCAGATCCCGGCAAAAAAGGGGCGGCAGTGGCGGCAAAAGAAGGGAAGATAAGCGGAGCAAACGGAGGCAGTTTAACTTGACAAGGTGAGGTAGGGTTTTTTAGTTGATTGTTGAATGTTGATGGTGTGACGCGTGGTGTTTACGCTCTACGGATTTTCATCACTAGCCTTATATCAACTGTTGCCACGTGTAATAGTGTGTCTCGTATATCCCACTTTCCTATTTTCTTTTTCTCTTTCCTAATTTCCCGTGATCTTTTTATTCCCCCAAGGCATGAACTATAGCCAAGGGACGAACAGATAAGATAATCTGTTTCCTTTTAAAAAAATTAATAAAAACTTATATATTTATGAACTTTATTATAAATACACACCACTTATAAAATAATTTTTTATTATTTTTTTAAATATAAAAAAGTTATGTAAAAAGAAAAAATAGCTGAAAAAATAAAAATAATTGAAATTGTACCCATAAATATATTTTTATGTATAAAATAATAAGCCTCTTATACAATTGAATGATGTAATTTTTTAAAATAATTAGTAAATATGAAGGCATTCAGGTGGCTCCCACGTTTCATCGGCCAACTGTCTTTATTCCATGGGCCCAGCAGCTAGAAGGCTAAGCCTAGGATTCTACTGGGTCTGGTGTGTGGGCTGGAGCTCAAATTTAAGCTGGCTATGTGGATTAAGACTAATGAGGTGGCATATTTTTTTGGTAATATTATGTGAATAATATTTTTAATTATATTAATTAAATGTAAAAAAAAATGCATAATTATAATTGTATAGAAAATTTAATTTAAATAAATAAATATTGACTTTAATACAACTAAAGTACATAATTGCTAAATATGAGTTTCTTTTCTTTAAAAAAAAAACTTATCTCTTTAGCATGTTAATAAAATTGTACATTGAAAATGTAAGTTTCTCACATGTACTGATATTTATAGTAAATAATCGATTATAACTTGTACACATTCTCAAACAATAGATTATATGTTGAAAATTTGAAGTATCACAACAAATTTAGAAACAAAGATTTAAATATTAAGTTTTTAAATCTTATTTTATCTAATTATTTTTTTAATTGTGAACTAATATACATACATATATATATTCATATGTGATATACATATGTTTAAGAAATAAATTAAAAATAATTTTGGTGCAACAAATGGAGTATTAATTTCTATTAATTAATACAAGTGCTTATTAATTATTTAATTCTTCAGTTGTAAGTTATGGCAATTCAGTCTCCAATTTTTATTACTATAATTTAGTTCAGAAATAATTATTTCAGAAGCGATTTTAATGAATTTTTTAATACTAATATAAAAAATTACTTAAATGGTATAATTATTATATTTGAGACTATATTTTTAAAAATTAAAAATGGTTGTTACAAACGTCTTATTTTTCGCAATGTTTTGTTGTTGTCTTATTTTTAGACAATGTACGTGTGGTTTAAAAAATAAATTAAAAATGATTTTAGTGTATAATAAATGAAATCTTGGTTTCTGTAATTTAATATAGTGGTTAGTCCATTGACTATGAGATATATTACAAATCGCTCTCTTAAATTTTGTTATTATAATTTATGAACTTATAAATTTGTTTCAATAAATTTATTTATAAGAATAATAAAAGTTTTATAATGTATTAATTGAGTGCTACAAAAAATAATTTTAAAATATAAATTTTCTATTTAAGATTGTAAATTAAAAAATTACTATTATAGATATATTCTTTACAAGCACTTGTTATTATCATATATATTACTGAAAAACAAAGATGTTGTTACAGTTATATATCAAGAATTAAAATAATTTTATGAGTTAAAAATTAAAATATAATAAAAAAATATCTGAGACTTATTATGACAATAATATAAAAATTAAAATAATAATTAAAATATGAAAATATAAAATTAACATAAAATTATATATATTTTTTGAGCGAACAGAAAATCGTATTAGTCAAGGGCAGAACCAACTGCTCGATACCCAGTCCCTCCCAAAGGGTAGTTAGGTCATTTACACAGAATACTTCCCGGGCTCTCATGCTCAGTACAGCAACTGGCATGGGCAATAATTAAAGCAAACCAAAAACCACGGGCACGAGGCCCGTCCGGCTGGCAGTGGGCAGACATCGAGGAATCAAACTAGTGAAGAAAGAAACAAGTGCGAGGGTAGTTTCGTACTTTCAAGTTTTATTTTGGTGGGGCCATCTATCTGCGGCGGTCTCTGTCTCATTCCAACCCCATAAAACCCCCTGGGACCCCCCGCCCTCCGTCATCTCTCTTTGAACTTCGAATCTACCGAAACCCCCAAAGTCTCACAGACATACTCTCTCTCATCTGTGTAGTTATTGTCTGCCAGAAACCTACAAGTTCTGGAGAAAATGGTGAATTAAGGAGGACCGCTATGGCTTCTAGTGCTTACAGAAACGGTGCGCTTAAGGGGGGAGCAGTGAGGCCAATCTCCGCGGTTAACTCTTCTAATCTCAAATCGTCGTCCTTCAAATCGAGGCCACCTCATTCGTTGCAGGCTCAAGGGTCTGCGCATCGCCGTAGCAGTCCCGCATCATTTGCTACTGCTGCCGCTGGAAACGATGGAGGTGTGTTACAGTTGTATCTCGAGACATAAACGATTCGACGAATCCACCGTTTTTTTTCCTTCTTGTTTATTTGCAGAGTTGCTGAAGTTCACTAATAGTGACTAGAATTTGTTATGAAGCATGCGCACCTTTTTTTTTTACGGTTGTTCATTTTTTTTTATCTTTGTTTTTGGCAATGCGCTCGAAGAGCGTTCGTTTTTTAGTTCTCGAGTGTATGCAGTAATATGGAATAGCTAATTTAAGTAGGTTGGAGGTTTGACCTTTTTCTTATTCCAATGACAGTGGAATTCGAGAAATTTTAGAACATTATGAGGATTTTATCTTCTTAGTAATAGGCAGGGCAGTAGGAGCAGTTTTTTCTTCATTTTGTTGGAATAGATTCATTATAGATGATAGATTTAGCTGCCTCTGCAATGATTAAGAGGCAGAGGCCACAACTGAATGCTGAAAAGAAGGTACCTTCTTCCATGCTAAATGTTGAAGTAGAGAAGGCCATGGGATCAACATTTTTAGAACATGGTTATAGATGTATACGTTCCTACTTAGAGCTTCTCTTGAACCAACTAATAATAATGTTGATGCTGTTATAAGTGCTGATGTCTGTGGTTCTTAGCAGTGCCTGGAAGAGTTAGAGTAGCTGTTAGGTTACGACCTCCAAATGCAGAAGAGTTGGTGGCTGATGCAGATTTTGCAGATTGTGTGGAACTGCAGCCAGAGGTGGTCCCTGTCTCCTTGTAGTTATCTATTTCTCCTTACTTGTGCTCTTTTGAGCTTTGTAGTAGCTTGCATCCTAGTTGTGCTGCCATTTATCCTTTTGAGTCTCTTGTCTATCTCAGCTTAAGAGGTTGAAACTCCGAAAAAACAACTGGGATTCTGAAACTTATGAGTTTGATGAGGTCCTCACTGAATTGGCATCTCAGAAGCGAGTCTATGAGGTCGTTGCTAAGCCCGTTGTAGAGGTCTGTTACATTCTCTATTTTATGGAAGTGGCAAGATGTTAGTTGGCCACATTTAATTGAGTTGATGAGTTTATGTAATGTGTTTTCTGAGTTTATTTATTTTTTTGTAGCAACTATATGATGCATCTTTCAATTTTGTAGAGTGTCCTTGATGGTTACAATGGCACAGTTATGGCCTATGGTCAGACCGGTACAGGAAAAACTTTTACTCTTGGAAGGTTGGGAGATGAAGATACAGCTGCTCGTGGAATCATGGTTCGCTCAATGGAGGATATCTTAGCAGATATTTCTCCAGAGACTGATTCTGTCTCTGTCTCATATTTGCAGGTTAGCTGATATTTATCATGTAAATGCACAGTTGTACTAATTTGTTAAATCTGAACTTCTTAACTGCATCACATTCTTTTGCAGGTGCCAATTTGTAGTCACTTGTATTACTATTGTATTAGATTTTACTGATGTTTTATCTTGTTCAAGCATGTCTATAGCCTGTTCAGGATCTTTGGATATCAAGAAAATTGTTTGACATTCTTATTTTAAAAAATTTGTAGCTTTATATGGAAACCATTCAGGACCTCCTTGATCCTGCAAATGATAATATTTCCATTGTAGAAGATCCAAAAACCGGAGATGTTTCATTACCTGGGGCAACCGTTGTAGGGATCAGCAACCAACAGATTTTTATTGAGCTGCTGAGAGTAGGGGAAGCTCATCGAATTGCTGCAAATACAAAGTTGAACACTGAATCTTCACGCAGTCATGCGATTCTGATGGTGACCGTTCATTCATCCCTTTTTTTTCTCCCTAGTTTTTGTGCTCCTTTATCAGCAATCCATGATGTTATTGTTTATGTTGTTTAAAAACATTGAACCATGTTAGTGCAGGTACATGTGAAGAGGTCAGTTGTGGCCAGAGAGGATACCCTTCCAAGTGAAATGCACAACTCTCACCTGGTAAAACCGTCAAAGCCACTAGTTCGGAAAAGCAAGCTGGTTCTTGTGGATCTTGCTGGTTCAGAACGTGTTCACAAGTCAGGTTTGTGTTTCAGATTATTTCATCGAGTCAGAATACTTTTATACAAAGACGGCTTTCTGCACCTACTTGAGGTGTGGGGGCATCTGAGCAGGAACTTTGCTTCTCTCTGCATATTTGTTGATCCCACTCGAAATCATCTCAAGAGTATTTAACTTGTAGAATTTTTCCTAATGTCCTGTTGATTCTGGAAGGAAAGATGTAGTGAAATATGGTAATGGGGGCTAAAGTGGAAAACTAGGTGGCATTTGAGACCAATTCTGGATTAGAAGAAATCTGACATCAGGTCACTGACATTTCTTTGATGTTATTTAGAGTGTATTGATTGAAATAATTTTTTCAACATCAATAGGATGACCTCGCGACGATTGAGCTATTAGAAATCAGGAGATAGAAGTTATTCTCTCTTTATATTTTTGCTATCAGGTATTTGCATGGAGTGTTTCATGCCCTATATACATGGTAGATGTACAATATTGTTTGTATATTCCATAACTAAAAGAGTAAATTACTAGATTTACTTATAAGTCGCCAAGGTAATGGCAACTCCCTAAATGGTAGATTTGGGATAACTTTTACGTAGATGATCATAGCTCTCTGCACTTCATACTCCTACCTTTTGCCCCTCAAGGTGCCTCTCCTGCTTGACCTAGAGCATATATGCAGAGGCAGAAGGGGACAGGTAGGGTTATGTCCCTCTATCTCCGCTTCTATGTGCATATATACATATATATACGTTTATACATATATTTTAATGTAGCCCCCTTAAAATTTTCATAAAAAATATGTAGAGTTCCCCCTAGACATATGTATAAAAATTAGTATATCTACACTAAATATTTGTTCTACAATTTCTTAAGAATATATAAATGAATTTAGAAATATGAATTTACAGCAATATGAATTTTCAAGACATTATAAATCTAAGTATATTATATTAAGTATTATATTTATAAATGTAGCTAGTAGATGGAAATATTGATATTTATTTATGAATATAGGATATATAAAAATAAATAAAATAATAAAGAATTATCAAATTTATATAAATTTTTGAAAAAAAAAAAGTAAAATGAGCTGCAATCATAGTTATTATATGAGACTTTCATATGAAAGTCAAAAATAAAATATTCAATTAACATTTACCACATTATTGGGGTTTGCCCCAATCATCTTCAATGACAGCAG